GCAAACGGGAGCTATATGTCCTACCCTATTGCAATAGTGACAAACTACGTTTGGGTTATGCATCCTCCTAGGTTGATAGTAGTTGCTAGGGGGCCTGACCATATTCATCCTGTTTTGAGAAAACCTTGGTTTTTGAAAATTTTCCCTTCTAGGTATTCTAGAGTTATTTTGTCTATTTGAAAAATTATTTTTATGCATAAAATCATTTTGATAACTTTTCCGAGTTTGTCTATCATGCGCATTTTCATTCCTAGGTTTTTGTCTAGGTTGTCTAGTGTCCCTAGGTTGACTAGGTTTTCTATTATCCTGATTTTTAACTTTCTTATGTTGAGCCTTAGGAGGTTTTCTAAGTGTTTGCTCAACGTTTTTATCCTTAGGTTCATTTTTATCAAAACCTATTCCTTCCTTAGAAAAATGCATAGTGTCTAGAAGTAAATTAAGATCTTTGTGTGGTGTATTAAACTTCTTAACCGTACTCTCAAGTTTTGGAACTTTTTCTTTTAAAGTTTTGCAGGATTCACATTCACTGGAAGAACTTTCTGGTTTGTCAGCACTTCTCTTACCATAAAATTTACTTTCTTGTTTCAACCTTTCATTATCTTTTTCCAATTTGGCAAAATCATTTTCAAGAGTTGAAAGGCGTTTCTTTAAAGATTTGTTGGTTTTAGAAGCGCTGACAAATTCATTATAAAGCTCATGAAGTGCTTCTTGCATTTCTTCAAAAGTATAAGAGTCGGAAGAAATGGTACATACCTCTTGAATGTTGTCGGTTTGATCTTCGTGCGCCATGAGGCAGAGGTTGGCGGCTTCCTCCTCTTCCTGATCCGTTGACTCATCCTCGGAGTCGCCTCCCCAAGAGATGTAGGCGCGTTGCTTTTTGAAGCCAGGTTTGTCCTTGCCGCCTTTGCTTTTTGGACACCTCGGCTTGATGTGGCCTATCTCACCACAACCATAGCACTTTGGGGGCCCGTCGTGCTTTCTTCCTTTTCTTTCAAATTCTTTCTTCATGAATTTGTGGAACTTCTTGATGTCGAGTCCGAACTCGTTGTCATCGTCGCTTGAGTCATCTTCCACAGACTCCTTGGTTGCTTTTAGCGCTATACCCTTCTTCTTTTGTTCATCCAAAGACGGGGTTAGGATAGTGGATTCATAAGTTTTGAGATTACCTCTTAGCCCGTCGATGGTGACATTTGAGACTCCGATGGATTCATAGATTGCGTCTGCCTTTGATCTCCATTCGGGTGTGAGGCTTCGCAGGATTTTCCTCAC